GCTATCAAGACAGCTCCCCCCTTTCCTGCCTTCTGCTCCCCCTACTCTCCTTCTCTGTTGCCTCTCGAACCTCCCCACACCCAACCGCCTATTACCACCCATACCGCTTTTTCTGCTGTTCTCCTAGCTGATTCAACACCGCTCTAGCTGCTTGGCCCACTAAATCTTCCCACATCACTGTTTCAGACAAGCAATCGAGCCGTTTTCGGCGTTGGCGTACTTTTAGAGCGAGGACTGATCCCCCAAGGTGAGCTTTCATGCTTCCGCTTTTCGTTTCTCTCTATTTTGTATCCTTATCTACAGTTGGCACAGCGCAGCGTGTGCCTTATCAGTGGCTCTTCTCAGCGATTCGGGCATCTTTTATCGGTCGTCTTTGTTCAATGCTCTAAAAAAGGAGCTATTTCGCTTTGTGCTATCAGATTTCGCTTCGCTACAATGCTGTGCCACCTGCAATTTGCCTTACTTTTAGTTTTTGTTTGTTCAGTTTAGTTTTTTTCCTTTTCACTGACTTCTAGAAAAACTCATGACTGTTACAGATGCTCTCCGCAACCAGATCATACCCATCTTGTTCGACCTCATCGAGTCGAAAGGTGATGATCCTGGAATGGAAGATCGACGTGTGGAAATTGCCGCGGTACGGGCGCAGTTGTGCTCGCGTTTTGCCATGTTTCTGTGTTTGAATGTCCTATCCCTCGCATATACACCTAATCCTTCTTTTATTCTGTTGAAGCTACAAGAATCTCTGTTTCTTGTTGTCGTTGTGCTATTCGTCGTCCGCTGCGGGTTTCCGCAAGCTCTTGGCACAGAACTCTCCGCCCTCTGAGTGTATGCATTGCATTTATTCTCGAAAGAAACACGCGCTCGACACACACGTGTTAGAGTGCGTGTGGGTTGAGGAGTGCACAGACATTTCGCGGAGAGTGCACGTACACGGCGGAGTGTGCGGAGAGCGGCTGCGGTGCGGAGTGGGTCCGCGCGACGCGGAGAGCGCAGCGTGTCATCGTCAATTGGCTGAGACAAGCGGAGAGAGTGCGAGTTTTTTGGAGGGTGAAAGACATGGGTAGTGAGACGCTTTGTTCTGGCCGTATCACTATTCTGTTTTTCGCCCTTTGAATCTACGCAAGATGCACTTCCTCTTCGCAAATCCCGATCCATTCATCCTTCCTTATTCCTACTCAAATTGCACTTCTTTTCTTCGATTCTCCTTACTGCCAACACTCTGTGTCTCAAGATTTTTTCGCATTTTTCCCTATGAAATAAGACACGCATTTTCTTAATTGATTTGGTTTTCGGGAATCATCTCAGCGGACGTTACTTAGTCCTTATTTGTGGCAAAGTTTCATTCAAATTTCGAAATCTTGGGTTTGCTGCACGTTTGGTGCGCGCTGGCGGCCGGCTGTTACAGACGATCAGCACAGCTGCCACGATTCTCCTTCTTCTTATTGTCTCGTCACTTGTTCACCATTAGCCGCAGCAGATTGTTCTGTCCTCCGGTCGTGGACTCCTTGCCTCTCTCGAATCCGCAGTTCTACACATAGTCTAAGTGTCATTTTCATAATGTTAGAGTATCGGCTAACAATAACAACATGCTTTGAGGGTGTTGGCAGTAGGTTTTTATGAATGTTTAAACCAGATGTCAGTGTGTGTATGTATATGTGAGTGTGCAGAGGAAGGAGAATTTCATGTCCTCAACACCGGCACGGCACGTCAAAGTGGTGGGTGATTTGTCGACTTGCTCATATCACAGCCAGCTTTGATGTGCTGTAATGGGCAAAGGGACGTCTCCTTCTTTTTGCTGTTTGTTGCTCTATGTTGTTACTAGACACCCTAATTCTGTTTGTAGATCGTCCTGTCCAGTTCGCTTTCATTTTCTTATTCAAAATTTTTGTTTTAACTCCAGTTGCCCGTTTGCCCTTCGTGTTTCACTTAACTCTATTTCAGGTGCTGTGCCGTGTCGTTTCGTCTGGAATGATCACTGACAAGCGCTGGCTTTTCGAAAACTTCATTGCCGACTACAGCCGATTCCTCGAACATCACGTGGTCCACATTCGAAAAGTAGGCCCGCGCGCTCACAGCGAGAGTTTTCAGATTCATTGCTGGGGTTGGAGAGTCGAATTCAAAGTGTGCACAAGCGTCCTAGAGTGCTACACAAACGCAGAGCAAATACGCACACATAGAGCGGTGGCGGGCGGCGCTATGCAGACATAAAGACGGGAAATGAAACGGATGACTTTGTAGTGTTGATAGATGATTGGTGGTGGCAAGGGGTTGAAGAAATGTGAAAAAAAA